GTATTTTGGTGTTGTTTTAAATATCCAAACCTCCTTAAATCAAGAGTTTAAATGAGCTTATTGCTCATCAAGGGTTTTTTCAGAAAACAATTTGATTATGATAACAGAGAGAATGTTTGAAAGAGTTAAAAAACTAGTTGTTGTCAAGGCAACACAAATAGCTTAGCTGTAGCTATAACCCGCTCTGAAACAAGTACAGGTACTATATATTTCTTTGTGTACAGTAGCTATTTTTAGGCAAAATGAACAGTTTTACGTTCTTCTTGTTTTTATCGATTCACAAGTGTAAATGGTATTGTGTTATTTTAGATAAACAGTAAATTATATATCTGACAGATTTAAATGGCGCAGTAACTTAATATTAAGCTTGATATTGTCCCCTATATATTAAGGAGCCCAAGCCTGGTGATCTCATTGAAATCCCCAGACCCTCCTATCAGCACTGGGCGATATGTTCTGAAGAGGGCAATGTCATTCACATAGTCCCACCATGTGAGTTATATATATATGCATGCTGCCTATTGAGCTGAACTTGTATTGAATCTGAAACGTTCCATTGAAGTCTCATGAGTCCTGATTGTTTTACTTGTCCATGTCTTTCTCTGTAGCTGAGAATGCTGATGCCGGGGTCAGCAGTGTGAAGTCAGTACTGCACAACAAGGCCATAGTGAAGAAAGAAAAACTGCTGGATGTAGTTGGCACTGATGACTACCGGATCCACAATGTCCTAGATAAGCAACATGCACCACTTCCCATTTCACATATACTACAGAAAGCAGAAAGCCTTGTGGGGATGGTAGTTCCATACAATGTGTTGACAGACAACTGCGAGCACTTCGTTACGGGGTTGAGAAACGGAGTACAACAATCTCAGCAGGTACAGTTATTCGTCGTGGCCTTTTATATCAGAATTATACTGTACTCATAATTTGACTATATTAAACACTATATTATGTCAAAAGTATTTCAGTTGTTTAGATATTAGGTGTGTAATATCACATAATATAATATAATAATTCACAAATACAACAAGTTATAACTAAACGACTAAAACATTAGGATTAAGGACACAAAGGCAACGACTTTTCACACCATGAATTAATACAAATGCTTTCTGTTTATTCTTACAGGTGCACAAAGCTGCGGCAACGGCTGCGACTTCGGTTGCTGTTATTGCCATCGTATGTTGCGCCATTTGTTTTGCTTTAAGTTTTAAAAAGCAAAGCAAAGTATACACTCTGCTTGGTTTTATCTCCATTGTTGTATTCCTTTTAGCAGTTTTTTATCTGGCTTTCACAATAGCTTAATCACCCATCATTTTTCAGTCTATTTAATGAATGGAATATAGTCCAACAGAGGGAACATATGTTCCTTCTTCATTTCCATTCTACTCACTGAAAAAAAATGTTCTTCTCCACTTCTCATCTGATGACTAGAAAGCAATCTCATTAAAAACCACTCCTCACCCTCACCCCGGACTCCCTGTCTCTTCATTCCTGATCCAACAGTTGTTTTACCATCAGTTTGCATGTGCAGTGACTACACTTAAAGGATCTAGAGTAGTGATGAAGATGCTTTGATTAAAAATAATGTGCTGGACATTTAACAAACATTTACAGGGAAGTAAAACAATTAAAAGCTATAATAAAAAAGAAATGCTTGAATGTAACTTAATGAAGTGGGAAGATGTGAGCTACGTTTTAAACGTTATTTCAGTTAAATTTCCAATTAAACCAATGACATGATTTCAAGAGCTAATTCAAGAGAAGGACAGGCAAATAAAATAAAAATGCAGCTGTAACATATGGAAGCATATGGGTGGCAATGCAATATGTAAAGTGGCGATGTATTTCTCTATTTAAATTGACATTTTCCCAAATGTGCGACAAGCATTAAATTATATCATTTACACTTGCCATTACCTACACTAGTTTTAATATGTAAATTAAAAACATATGTTAACGCTTTATAAGTTGCAATGTTAAATGAAAATGTATTGATTAGCCATGTTTAACATGTTCAAGCAAAAACTGTAGCAAAATGATCATTTAAATGCTGTTTTTTAGACTTAGGGGTAGGACACTTGAGATTGCATTTTCATCATAATTTAATGCAGTGTAAATTTCAGAATGCATCCTGAGCCAAAGGTGCAGCAAAAGGGTGACTTAAATGCATTGACACTTTCACTTAAGACGTTTTAATTGTATTTTCATTAAATAGCCGCGATGAATACAGTTTAAGTCAATGTGGAATTGAAAATGAATTTCAAGATGCACAATAGGTCAATATTGACTATTAACCAAACGCTTTTCCCCTGCCTGAAGAGCTGAAGAATTTTGCTACCCTTATGCTTCCATACTGAAAGAACGAAATGTTACAGAGGACATTTTTAATTTTAAGTTGTGTCATCTAAGAAGAATATGAGTTTAACAGAATGCACAGTTGATATAAAAAACTGGATGACTAGTAACTTCCTACTGCTAAATTCTGAAACAAACAAACAAACAAACAGAGGTTTTAATTATTGGACCAAAAGTCTTGGCAAGTAACAACCAATGCGTCTCAATCAGCTCCCTAGCTCCCGAGCTCGTGAATCAGTAGATCGTGTACACGAATTCAGTCACTGGTAAGTTCCTTGACTCACTCAAATTCCAGAGACATGATTACAGACAACATAGTAGAACGTTATCGCTAGAATTAATAAACAACTGGCAGGACCTCATTTTGATATTATTTTTTGGTAACACTTTATTTCGATAGTCCACTTTAGACATTCTATTAACAGCAAGTAACTTTGCAACTACATGTCAACTAGCAGTTAGTAGAGTATTAGTAGACTGTCTGCTTAACATTTTCTAACACTTTCTTTGTCAACAATATACTAACCCTAAACCTACCCTAGCAGTCCACTCTGAGAGTTAGTAGACATGTAGTTGCAAATTAATGAGAATTAGTTGACATGTAGTTGACATGTAGTTACAAAGTTACTTACAGTTAGTAGAATGTCTAAAGTGGACTATCGAAATAAAGTGTAACCTATTTTTTTATTCTTTTTAAAGACATTGTTCTGTTACATGTTCTTACAACATTTCAGCCGAATCGTAATTATAAATGTTAATTAAATGTGTTCATTACCTGTCTAGAAAACAGTTTGTCTTTTCAAATCTTCTATCACATGTCATTATATTTATCAAATTGGCTCGTGTGGTTTATGTTTTGTGCTTATTGTGGGATTTTTCAGGGAGTGAAGGTTCCAGGGCACTGGAAGGATTTCACGATTGAGACAGCCCTTAAAGGGTTAGTTCACCCAAAAACGAAAATTAGCCTGTGTTTTACTCAAATCCAGTCGGAGTTATTTAAAAAATTGTCCTGGCTCTTCTAAGCTCTATCATTGCAGTCAGCAGGTGTTTCTGTTCCACAGTCCAAAACACGTTCAATAAAGCACGCGTATCCGTAATAAAACGTCACTCACACGGCTCCGGGGGGTAACTAAAGGCCTCCTGTAGCGAATCCATGTGTTTTGTAAGAAAAATATCCATATCTCAAACGTAATACACACTTCTCTCTCACTTCATCTAACTGTGGTACGAGGAAGGCTTTCTGGCGGATGATGTGGGACATATGCGTTCCCTGATTAGTGATGAATGCGGAGAGAGAACA